ACCAAACCAAACTGATCTTCTTTATTTGGTTTTTACTCGTGTCCAATCAGATTTCAGCTTTCTTTTATGAAATTATCATATCAAAACTGTGTCCTATCGGAAACAAAGTTCCATTTTAGGAACTATTTACACTTGTGCTTTCAATCACAAAAATGTTTTTTTATGGTGATATATAACCTTTCAAGGCCTTAAAACTTCAAATAAGTAAATATATTTGCAAAAGCAATCTCAAAAATAAATGAACATAAGTTCTTTGCTGTAAAAAACGAAAATAGTAACAAAATAACAAAAATTTAAACGAAAAAAAGTAACAAAAGAAAGAATATTAATAAAAGTAGAATGTCCACAATTAATTTCTTCGATTTAAACGAATTATTTCTAAGAAATCAATGAAACAAAGCTGTTTTTTGATTGGATAGTCAATTCATCTGTTATGATGTAAATTTGAGAAAAAAGCTCAAAGATGATGAATTTTTCAAAGCAAATCTCAGGAAATCTTATTCCAAACCTGATTTTGATGGATTCTGATTGCTTGATTTCAAAAAAAAGCCATCTTGTTACTTGCAACAACAAACTGAAACAAAATCATTCTGATTTCTTTTACGCAAAACACGAAATATCTATACATTTTATAATATTTTGAAAAAAAAATCATTTTTGAAAGAAAATAAAAGACTCCAAGTAAAACAATATCTGGGAAAATTAAAATTTCCCTTTTTGATAATTTTTGATGTGTTTTTATAAACGTCTTGGACAAATAAAATTTCCCTTTTTGATAACTTTTCAAATTTTGGTACTTACTGATTCTACCAATTTTTCGAGAGAATTATTTCTAAATACGATTTTTTTGTTCGAGAGGAAGATCAAGTGGTAGAGTTAAAGTCCAAGTATTTGCATAATTTTCATGAGAGTCAAACAATCATATAATTCTTACAACTGATATAGATAGTTTTTTTCAAGTGTTTATTGATGTCCGATCTGTCTAACACTTTTAACAGACATGTTCTAAATTGTAAAGATCGAGTGCGACACATTTATCCGAAGATTGTCTATAGACTTCAACAAACGCTATTTGAAAAATTGGAATAATTCAGTCTTTCAGTTTCCGAAGATAACAAATTATTCAACAACCTAGCCATTTTTAACTTTGAGTCCATTTGTTTTCCAACAAACGAACTGAAAGCTATGCAAACTACACCGTGGATTGGAAAACAATATCATCAAATCTGATCAATGAACCAGATCTTTTTTACAAAAAGGAACCCAAAAACTGATTATGTATTTCGTAATCAACTCTGATTCTGATAGATTATCGAGACCGATATGTCATCCCAGTTTTTGATATGTCAACCCAGTAACAATTTCACATGGTTCAAATTTGGAGAAAAAAATTCCTCAATTTCGTGAAATTTTTGGTTGGAGCAGCATGTTTAAACTCCTTTCTTAAAGCCTATAAAGCAAGTGATACAAAATGATTTTCCCTTATGAGTGGTTTGACAGTGCGTGCAAGCGCTCTACTCTGAGGATTTACCTCCATACGAAGTCTTTTTCTGTAAACGGAGAAACAAAATGAAGAATTTAAGATAAAGAAATGATAAAGAATTTAAGCATTATCAGAACGTGCGAATTGAGTTGACGAGCAGCAAGCACTCAAGAACTTTCAAGTCAAGACAGTTCCAGCATCTGGATGGATATCTAAAATTACTTCAAGAGACTTGAAAGGAAAACGCAATGATTGTGTTCAAAGTTTTTTTTGCAATGATAAAACAAAAAAGATGTTGTTCCAACCCTGTGGAAGCAACGCAACAAATAAATCCTATCTATCATAACAAGAGATTAGATATATTTAAACTTGGATTCCAGTGATTTTATGAGAAATTTAAAGTAATACAAGACGCGATATACCCAAAATTATTATGTCCTACTCACAATTCTCACTGTTCTCTTGGTAATAGTAAGCTGCTAATACATCTGATTGTATCATTTTTCGATCATAACGACAACGATTGATTAAATTTCGTTTCACATATCAATTTATTGATTATCTTTACAGTCTGTACAAATCCAGATTTCATTCAAATGTCATTTTATTACATCAGCTTGCGAAACTTTCAACCAACTTACTTGTGCTGTTCATCACAGTTTGAATTGGAAAAGAGCATAAAAAATTTTGAGATTGAAAGAATGTGAGGCAAAATTGACAATCAAATCATTTATGTTCTAACCAAAACTCGAAAACCTTTTAAAAGTCGAAAGACGGTTAATTTTTTTCTGACGAGGTGTGAGAATTGGTTCTTTTTTGACAAAATATGCAAAGTGTTTCTTTTTCATTCACGAATTGCAAAAAAATCATTTTTTGACAATATGCAAGAAAAATTGTTTATATTTGGTGAAAATTGATTAATTTTTTTGACAGGACAAAAGATGGGTATTTGATTGTGATATGCTAAATTCAAGGTTTGACAAAACCAATCTCGCAGTTTGGAGAACATGGTCTTGTTTTTTTTACCACGAACAAGACCAAACTGCAAAATTGAGAGTTTCCATACAAGTAGAAAACAAAAGAAAACTGACTGTTTCAACATAGATGGATATTGCGATCATTGAAAAAAGTGTCTGGTGTTATGGAATGATATTACGACTTCTGTCACTGCCTGCACACTCTTCCCTCATTGAGCGATGCAGATTTTGAGGGAGGAAACGTAAGACCAGATACGGATGATTTGACACGGGAGTTTGTTTGCAAAAAAGGAAACGAAATCCAAGAGATGTGGCAATGTGAGTGGTAGCAAAATTTCAAAACGAACAAAAGAACTAAGATTCTTATTCGAACCAACTCTCCCTACAAAAAACTTTTCACTTCTGACTTTTTATTGGGAAAAAAACAAAAGATGGATCCCTTAATGGCCATATTCAGTAAGGGCCATATCATGTGACTAAGCTATTTCAGATGAACTGAAAGACAAGTTTGCTAATTTTCCTCCAATTTTCAAAAACACTGATACTGGCAGAAATGACTTCGGAGAAAGTAGGCAAAAATATGCCAAAGAGGGTGATCTTCATGCGCGTCCCCAGATAAAGCTTTTATCTAGTTTCAAACTAGAAAATAAATCTATCATTACTCCTCTTTTCAACTTCTATAAGGAAATTGGTTTACAGTGTACGAAAGTTTACCGGTTTGTACAGTTTTATCCTCGAAATTGAAAAATTTTCGAGGAGAAAAATGTACAAACCGGTAAACCAAGTTTGCTCAGTCAGTTGTTGATGCTAGAACGGAAACAGATGATAACCCTTTATCGGTGAACTATGAAACTTTTAGGCAATGCATCCTATTGGATAGACCAGGACATACCATCACACATTTTTAAATAACGTGATAATGCACAAAACAATAAATGAAGCACTCTCCAAACGCTTGAACACTGTTCAAAAAGGTTTGTACGAGATTGAGTTTGTATATTAAAAAACTTAAAATAAAATTAATTATTGGATTTTCTCCTTTAATGTCGTGTTTTTCAATCTGCTGTGTGGAAAGCTGAGAATCCAGGAGCTTTACTACAACTGTTGTGGTAAGATAAACTCGAAGAATTGGAATTTGACACCAATTTGCTGCTTTTAGCTCACGCTGAAGAAATTTTGTTTGATTGATTTCGTTCGGAGAAGCAAGATGACTGAGAAAAATTGAGAGAAAATTGAAAGCAGAGATTCATTTGAAACAGATTTAAAAACAAATTTTATTCCGCGAACATGTTGTAGCGTTCACAAAAAAATACGATAAATGAGAGACTGAGTTGTTTGAAAAATTTTTTTTTTAGGTGTACGGAGATGCTATGTTTATGTCGCAAAAACTATTGTCGTCATGACAACAAGATAAAATTTAGCCGCAAATGATTGAAAAAATTAGTTCTAGAGGAATGCGGCGATGAGCCTGTTGCAAAACACAGGATAGTACATGACAAAGCAATCAATTTGTCATCAACAAACTGGTATTCAGAACCATGAATCATGCGGTCGCTTTATACGAGCAATTGAAGAAGTTGTTGAGTTACTTTGACCCAAAAAGACAAATTCAGGTTGATGGAAAAAACAAAAAAAAAACATTGAACTTAAAAATAACTTATAGTTTGGTTTAATTCAATGCAGAATTGATTAACTAACTCTAAATTTGCGGTAAAATGATTGTACGCAGCAGTGGTTCATAAAATTAGTTTTTTAATTTTTTTTTCAAAAAACCTGATCTATTTCTCTTGAAGTAGAAGTTAAATGAGGAACAGATGGATCGGCAAACTCGGGCGCTTAAAAAATACCATCCTGATACTCAAACCTCGTATCTTATTACATGACAAAACCTGTAACCTATCTTAGTACTTGGGAATTCTATTCCCTATCTTAAAACCCAAGTGAGTGACCGGATGCTCTATTCTCTTTCTTACATCATGCTGTTCACTAACAACCCCCACCCCCTCTGATCACTGCACTCTTCTACTACTGTTGCTAGCAAATATTACTAAAATTTCAACGGAACTGAAATTTCATTTTTCTACTTATTTTAATTATTTTTTTAAAAAATTGACTTTCATTATCATATCTGCCTTTTAAACTAATAAAAATTGCAAGTTTTCTGTTTGAATTTCTTCAAAAATTTTTTCATGCTAAATCTAGTCACAGAAGTAGAAGTCTGACAAGGTCGGTTGAAATTTTATGATCTCGCAACAACCGCTTATTTTTAGTTTTCTTAACTATTTGGTTGTAATGGCAATTGGTTTGTTTTTTCAAACTAAATTTCCGTGATTTCAATACCGCAATTCTGTCCCATACTGAGCAGAACTATCGGTATTTGAAAAAATCTCTAATGTTTTTTTTTTTAAAAAAGAACGTGATGAATAATCTGCTACCTCCTATCATTTCAATTGTAATCGCAAATCTGCTATGTTTAATTCAACCGCTAACGTTTTTCACATTTTAAAAAATAAGTTCCAGAGGTTAGTTTTTCTTGAATTGAGTTAATTTCATGAATAACTTCAAATTAGTTTAAATCATTTATTTTAAGCATTAATACTGAGTTATTGGCCATAAAGTTGCTGTTTTTTATCGTGTTGTGTTTATCTGCGTTTGCGTGAGTCCGTATTTATTTTGGATAGTTTTCTTCCAATCGTTTAAAAATGCTTCGTCATCATCATGACCAGGGAGGTTCGACAGGTTGTTTCGCAATTTTTGTGATGCGGTGTTCACGAAGCCATTACACAAATGCCTGATCTCACCAGCCCTGGCCTTCATCTTCTTAAAGTGGATTGACTGAAGTTCCCTTTCACTAGCTCTTTCTAGGTCATTGCCAGAGTCGACCATTTTTGACACGTTTGTGTGGCAAGATGTAATGAATGTATGCATCGTTGCCAGATAACCTGTGAAGTACTCCAGAGCCAGTTGTAGTACAGTTGTCAGGTAGACCATTTTGCAATCAGCTGCCTTCCTAGCGACAAAATCAAAAATATCGAAGACCCCAATCAACTTCTCCCAGAAAGCCAACGAATTCGATTTTTTGTATGCATCGTTAACTTGAGCAAGCAGTCGTGTTCTGCTGTTTTCGTATTCTTGATGAATACCTGCTTCATCAATAACTGTTTTCTCTGCACCCAAATTTTGCGAAATTTCGTTGTGAACTTCTTTCAATATGGAGCACATTTTTTTGGTCTCGGATAGTTCTTTCTGAAATTCTGCAGAGTTTTTCACCCATTCGTCGAATTCGAGGTCAGCATAATTATCCATTATTTTGGAAATTTTGAAGAACAGTTGTTCGGTCATAGGCAACACAAATTTTGAATATTTCCGTGCCTGTTTTCGAATATTTTCTCTGCAATCCAAATATGTCTTTTTGGCATCATTTTCTGGGAGAAACTTGTCATCTGCCTTGTATAATTTTTGTAACGAACCGCTAAAAAATAATTTTCAGGTTGAATACAGTTATGAGTAAGAATACATGATTAGTTTGCTTTATCGTTCAAAATTTCTGGAACGCAGAAAAAGTATTAAAGCGCAAAATGTACCTTACGTAATTTATATGGCGTGTGGGGTGATGATTTTCATTTAAAAAATTCAATTTTAAAAAAAAAAGTCATATAGTTTTATTTCATTTAATTTTATAAGGTTATTACTGCTCCATAAACCTCAAAAGGCAGTCGGAACATTCAGGACTTCGCCCTGATACGAGCAGTCTTGTATTTTTGTAATTTTAATATGCTTTATTTTGCTCTATGTGGTTCGTTAGACAAATTTCAACGGTCAAAATATCATATGCTTCACATTGCTCAGATCAAAAACAATGGAAACCAAATACTTGTTTATCGAGTAACTTGGAAAAACATATGGTTTTGGGTCAAAAACTTATGTGTAACGCAATATTTCTTCTTGCCCAAAATTTTGTCAATGAAACAACCTTACTCGGATCTGGCATTCATCACTGTTATATTGCAAAGCGTCATGATGAAAAAATAAGGATTCTACAACAGATTTCGAAAAAACCTATGAAGAATCAAATTAACTTTTAAAATTCGGTTCAGTTGTGAAAAAATTTGCGACATTCGGTGATAGTACTTGCAAACATTTTTTCATGAATTTTCCCAAAAACGTGTATTCAAGTTCGAAAACACTTACTTACCTGAACATCATGAGATCAGTAGGAGCTTCGCTCAAAGTTTTGATGAACTCTGCCGTTTGCTGTTCTTCATTCTTTGCTTCGCTCATTTTCTACCTCAATTTTTCTTGACTTCACAAAGCAAAAAAAAAATAAAAATTTTGAGCGGTTGATTTTAGTAAGCTAGCTCAATTGAATGTATAAGAATGAACCGTTGGCATAACTAACGACTACTAAGCATGACCATAAGCCAATTATGTTTTACAAACGTATTTAGTTTAATTCGAATATAAATTCATCAGAGTACAAAACTCGTGGACTACTCCGTGGGGCCACAAAAATTGTTTAAAATTGTTCTCATTCAATAATTGAAAATTTGTTGGCTTTGGTTCTCATATGTAATATTCTAATAATAGTTTCAGTATTTTTAATTGGCGACTTACAAATTGAGCTAAGAACTCTGATACAAAATTGTGACTTTTGTGACTGCGCGCACAAGTTTCTGTTCTTGCTGCGAGTTTAATACAAAAAACATTACATGAGAAAAAAACAATAAAAACAACTTCTGAGATCCAACCGTAACAACAAGCATGGCTGAATTTTCGCTAAGACAAAAACATAAACATAAATACTGAATCAAATGCGACCACAAAACTCTTATAAGCTGATGAGTATAATACAAACTACAGTATACGACAAAAAGCTTTGTGCAACCAAAACCGTAAAAAAGATCATGTTTAAATATTTGTGAACGAAAAGTAACTGCTAACTATGAAAAAGAACATAAGGGACCAATCCAAAAACCATGGTCCGTTGAAAAATCAGATCTCACTCTTTTGTCAAATATTTCTATAAATATTCAAAAAATTTTCCGTCTTAAAATAAAATAGTTGATTTTTTCAATTTTGTTAATGGCGTTTAAAGTTCCTATGTGAGACTTGTGACTCAATACAATTGTATTACTTTGAAACATAAATAAGATGTTTCATACATAATTCTCCTAAAATTGAAGCTGTTGGGAACGTTTTTTGACTTAGGCCAAAATTACGGCTGAAAAACTTCTGCGTCATGAATTATACAAACTATGAAGAAAAGGTCTTGTCCTAAAAGTTGGTTTTCCATCAGTTTTTTAAATTGGTTGTGTCTTTTTATTATCGAAACTCGTAGAAATCAAGTGGCAGTTACACAAATAAATTCATGCGATACATTAGATATTTGTGAGAAAGTAGCAATAAACTCTTTTTTTTCATGAATCAAAACTTTAAAAATTGAATACTAAAGTATTCGAGCCAACTAAACAGAACATAAAAATGGTGTAAGATTTAACATGAAAAAGTAAGCTTAACTATGACTGTATGCGCGCGTGTGTGTGTGTGTGTGTGTGTTTGTGTGTGTGTGTGAATCAGCAAGATTTTTTTTTTAAATAATTTTCGTGAGTGGGTAACAAATCAACAAAAATGAAACCATATAGAAGAAGAATCACAAGGGGATATTATTTGAGAAAGCTGTCAAAAAATCAAAATCAGCCGGGAATAAAAAAAACTCATTTCCTCAAAGCATTCTAAAAATCTTAGATTCAATCTTAGTTGCAGAGGAGTTTAAGAGTCACAAGAGGGCCAATTTTGACCGACAAAAGGGAAATTGTGATTGTGAAAGGAAATTCGCACAAAAAACTATAGCTGTAGGCCCGGCAAATGACGATTTCGGACCTTTTTACAAAAGTTGGAACCTATTCCAAATAGTGTATCATTTTCCCGTATAAAGCTACCTGGTGATACCTATTCTGTAAATCATTTTCAGCATTAATTAAATGAACGTGTAGATATTCCAAAAATATTTATGTGACGTGTGCACTGCATTGTATGACGTTGGACTACTCAAACTCGCAATGAAAAGCAGACCTGTAAAAAAATTCCTGAAAAAAATTGATATCGACGATCTAAAATTACAAAAACATAACTGAAGACTAAAAAAAAGAATAAGCAATGGAAGACCCAGCAGATTGGTTGACGCATATTGAATGAATCATCAAAAACTGTCGGAAGACGCGAAGTTCTGTTCCACTCCAAGGGATACCAAATCAGATACCAAAAGACTTGTTCTTAGCTGCAAAATCTATGGGGACAAATAAAAAAGAAATTAAGATTGAAACGCAACGATTACTCTCCGGAATAACCTATTAGAAACTCGAAAGTTGCATCAAAGATGCTTTATCAGCCAAAGAAATAGGTTCACAGCCGATCAATGATAGCACTCGACTCAAACCGATCCTTTTGACGGTTTGTTAAATGCTTAATTTGTTAAATTGTTAAACTACATCCAACGGAATAATCAACAGGATAAAACAATCAAAATTGTGTCATAATTTTGTTAAAAAAGAAAACTTTGCAGTGAAAAAATTACATTTTTAATTCTCCAATTGAAATATTTTTTGTTGGATTAAAATCTTTTCACCGCGGAATACCTTCTGTGGAGAATATAACGATTGTTATAAAAAAGCCTACCCATCCCAGGAGGCACTTGAATTTTAATATCATCATATGGTTCAACTAATCAACATATTAACTACGGTGCGAGTAGTATGCTTATAGTACACTAGGATGGGGGGTTGTCATCCATGGATGATAGTAGTTTGCATATAATGGATTAGGATCGGGGTTGGTTTTCATACATGAATGACTATTTGGTCTAGACCATATCTGTCAACATGTATTACCTGACAACAGATCGTCACCATGTAACAATCCAAATTTTCACCATGTTTTATTTGACAGCAAAAAGTCATAAAGTGAAAACACAAATAATAGCCATTACGGTTTGGCTTAAAATGAGTTGAGCAATCTGCACTGACAATACCATTCCCAGCTTACGACCTGGAATTAAGAATTACTTCCGCTACCAGTATTTACATGTAAATCCTTTACCACCGCTCTTTTCAAAAGTGAATACTAGAGAATTGTGAAAAACTACGTAGAAACTATTCGCTTGAAAAGTGACTGATCAAATGATTTATCTTCATTTGTGCAAAACTTTCGTATACAAAATTAGGAAGCAAACAGACACTTGAATTGTAGTGAAAGTTTTATTAGCCTGAAAATAGTACAATGTTATAAATTGATTATGAAGGCTGAAAATATAGCGTTGCCAGACTTTTGAAAACTCAGTCAGAACTGATCAAGAAATTTTATTTCCAGCAAAATTCCAATAGATTAAGTACGCGAAAGTTAGCCCTAAAATTACAACTGATCGTTTCCTAGTATGAGCAATAAAAATACAACAGCTTGCATATGACTGAAGCATTACTCTTACTAAATAATCTCGATAAAAAAATTGAATTGGTCTCGACATAGCAGTTATGAATAAACTAAGCAAAATTGTTTAAACAGATTAGAAGTAAAATTTAATAATGACAAAAATTTGATTGTGTTTTGATTTGAGACTCCTTGATTGTTCAATGACAAGTTCAAAGGCGATTTATTCTGTTTGGTTCTCGTTTGCGGCAACGTATGACATGGTAGTACTTCCTATATGTATGCTTTGCTGTTTTTCTCAGTCACTTCTGGAGAACCTGATAACAAAAAACATTAGAGTATGAACTGAAAAATAATTTTTTATTTTTGTTTTTGATTGTTCAGAATAGATCCAAGGGTTTTTTGCACTTATTGGATAGTATGGGATGAAAAAGAAAACAATATTTCTCAGAATGATTGGCTACGGGCCCCTTTTCTCGCCGAGAAGTATTTTCCACTCAAACGGTAGGTGTTGCATCAGGGAACCACCACTGACTTTGTGCCTTTTCAACCCAGATCCATACTTCCGTGCCCGCTTTACATCCAATTGAAGCGATGCCACATGCTTGTTGCCTATGTCGTCTCGTGAGTACTGCCGTACCTTGACGAAGTTATCGAAGATGACTATTTCTTGAGGGACTCAAGAAACATCTGAAGAGAGTATCGAAGAAACGGCGCTTATTTGCACTTCTCCATCCAGAATTGCACACCTTCGCACCTAAAAAAAGTTGCTTTGTCAACTTGATCTCCAAGCGGCTCCCAGATTTCCACCGTCATTATTTCCACTTTGTCCTTCCAGATCTATGTCTCCGTTCTCTGCAGAAAGCTCTCTGCTCCTTCATGGTCAGGGATTTTTACCTACTGAAGGAAGAGATCCATAATAGATGTCAAAAAAAGTTCGGGATGTGACACATCCCCAGCCCTTCTATATAATACACTCTGAGGTACGTCAGCAGGCGATTGTATGTGGTCTTTTTTACGAAATTGTAAAAAAAACCATAGGCGTTCTGAAAATTATGTTTGGTCGCTAAGACCAGAAGCAGCCTTTGTAGTAGTAGTCAATTTCAGGAAAACTTCGAATAAATTTTTTTATTCTAAGAAAAGATTGAATCAATGAAATTTGCGAGGCCATTTTTTTATTTCTTTCTCAGTTTGTGAGTAAAGGCGGAATTTATTAAATTATCTTGAGCAAAACGTTATTTTCTAGCAACTGCCTGGAAACTATAAATAGTGAGCTCAACTTTTTGCTGATTGATGTCAGTTATCACAAGCACAAACATATAAGAAAAATGCAACTAAGAAATTTATGAATAAAAATACTTGTTAACCCGTGGACCTGAACGTTACCATGAAGACTGTGAACACGATAAAGAAGTTTTATTCAACCAGTTAATATTGGACAGAATTGAAGTTAAGCCAAGCGAAAAGATTAGCTCCTTCTTTAACACAACAGTAAAAATTATATCTATTTGTTTTTTTAGTGCAGCTTCAAATGAGAGATTGTCCTATAGCTATGTCATTATGTTTATTTTTTGTGGCTGAATACAAAAATCGCTGTGGAACGAGATTTCAGATTTAAAAAAACATGGTTTTTTGAAAACTGAAAATGTTTTTAAATGGTTGATTGTTAATTTAACGACGACATGAAGATTGAGTTGATAGCCAATGCTACTGAGTTTTTCATTTAAAAAAAACTTGTTTTTTTATGTCTTGGATAAATGCGGAAACTAAGTTTTGCCCATAACCAAGAAGATTAGCAATAAAGATTGCAATCTGGTTATACATAAATTATAAAACACCTTAACATTTTCATTTGACAAGCTATGTCAGCATGTTAGCATCAATTTTTTTTTGACTCTTTGGACATACTCATGAAGATAAAAGAACAAGAAATTCAAAACATATTTGAAAAACTATCTTTGCTATAAGATGTAGGAGTCATCCATTCCAGCCTACTACATCCTCAAAATATTTCAAAAATCTAAAAATTTTCTGTATTCTCTTTAAAAAAACCGTTTTAATTTAAAAATTAACCCTGAAAAGTAAATAATCAAAATTGTGAAAAAATTAAGAGATTTGTTAAGATAACTTGAAATGTTCCAAAAATCATAGTCTTAACACTCAAAACTATGGAAAAAGAGTGACTAATCCTTTAACATTTTTATTTTTTTTAGTAAATTTTATAAGTTTCTTTTAAGTATTATCCG